CAGTAAACTTTGACTTGATCCTGTTAGGAGACAACTCATAGAACATTCTTCATATACAAAGAATTTTAGAGAGGATTATAGAATTTATTACAAGGTTGATGCCAGCTAATTTTTAAAATTCTGTTTTCTATTACAAGACATGGTAGATTTGTAACTAGTTATTTGGAAAATAGACTAAAAAATAGAACATTTGATTTCTGTCCAATAAATGTTATATAAGCCAGCATGACTTACATAGAAATAAAAATACCTTATGATCCAGCAATCCCAGTCCTAGAAATAAACCCAAGTAAGAGCCGTCACACGAATAGACATACGCATACCCATGTTCATTGCAGCACTATTCATAGTAGCAAAAAGATGGAAACAACCTAAATACCCATCAGCAGAGGAGTGGATAAACAAATTATGGTATGTACACACAATGGAATACTGTGCAACAATAAAGAACAATGATGAATCAATGAAACATCTCACATCATGGATGAATCTGGGGGGCATTATGCTGAGTGAAATAAGTCAGTCACAGAAGGACAAATATTGTGTGAGACCACAACTATAAGAACTCAAGAAAAGGTTTAAACACAGAAAAAAGTATTCTTTGATGGTTATGAGGGTGGGGAAGGAGGGGGAGAGGAAATCACTAACTAGATAGTAGACAAGGATCAACTTCGGTGAAGGAAAGGACAACACACAGTACGGGGGAAGTCAGCACAACTGGACAAAAGCAAAGAAGTTTCCTAGACACATCCAAACACTTCGAGAGACAGAGTAGCTGGGGCCTGGGGACCATAGTTTTGGGGGATGTCTGGGTCAATTGGCATGACAAAGTTTATAAAGAAAATGTTCTACATCCCACTTCAGTGATTTGCACCTGGGGTCTTAAAAGCTTGCAAGTGGCCATCTAAGATACATCTATTGGTCCTATCTCACTTGGAGCAAAGGAGAATGAAGAAAACCAAAGACCCAAGGAAAATACTAGCCCGAAGGACTAAAGAACCAAATGAACTAGAGACTCCACTAACCTGAGACCAGAAGAACTAGGTGGTGCCTGGCTACCACCAGTGACCGCCCTGACAGTGAACATAACAGAGAGTCCTGGACAGAGCAGGAGAAAAATGTACAACAGAATTCAAATTCACATAAAAAGAGCAGACTAAATGGTCTGACAGACTGGGGGAACCCCCAAAACTGTACCCCTGGATGCTCTGTCAGCCCAGAACTGAAACCATTCCCAAAGCCTACTCCTCAGACAAAGATTAGACAGGACTATAGAACAAAAAATAATACACGTGAGGAACGTCTTAGTTCAATCAGAAATACGAGACCAAATGGGTACCAAAAAAATTTTTTTTTTTTCATAAGAACAGTCCGCAGGGGAATTGCACGCTCTCACTTCCTACTCTTTAACCAGGTCTGTTTGCAGAAGCAAAGTTAGAACTGTGTCCAGAATTTTAGGCTCTTGATACCAAACCAAACCATTGCCATCTAGTCGATTCCAACTCATAGTGACGCATAGGACAGAGTGAACTGCCCCATAGGGTTTCCCAGGCTGTACATCTTTACAGAAGCAGACTGTCACATCTTTCTCCTGCAGAGCAGCTGGTGAGTTTGAACCGCCAGCCTTTGGGTTAGCAGCCAAGCACTTAACCACTGCACCACCAAGGCTCCTTTTTGGCTCGTGATAGCAGAGCAAAAAGATGGTTTGGAAGAAAGGGAAGTTTAGTGAAGCAAGAACAAGCTTTCCTCCACAATGAGGCCACACTTGGCAATGTCATATTCTGCTTCAGAATGTTAATTCTAGAACCCACCGTTCTGTTCATTCTTTTTTTCTTGAAATAATTTTATGCACATACACAGGTTGAGCAGTGTATGCTGACATTTTAAACCATTCTCTTGATAATTTGTTAATGTATATCTGTAGTGTGTGTGTATGGGATGGGGAACTGAAGAGTGAATGAGTATTTTGAAAATATTTCCCATATCACAGCCATCATCCAGGGATTATTTGACATTCCACTAAGCAAGAATGGACACTTAACTTGGAAGGAGCAGAATGAGATTTGGAAAGGAGAGAGTATCGAAGAAAAACCTGCTGACTCCTCTGTAGATCAAAGCAGTAGTGATGCTGCCATTCATTTTAGGAAGCTCATGGTTTTTTTTTTTTTTTTTTAGAAAAAAATTGCCCATCACCCATTTTATGTGATGCTGGAGTTAAGTTACCAAACACATCATTTATACAAAAGGAAATATGAATAGTAAACAAACACAAGACAATTTATTTCACTACTAAGCAGCTTTGTAAATTAGTGCCATTTTACACTTGGAAAGAGTTATCTGTATGAACAGAGACTGGAAGGAAATAGTGGAAACCAAAACATTTTTAAGAAGCTATGATTGTGGATTTTTTGTTTCTTTTAAGTTATATTTGTTTCACAATAAAATAATGATATTAAGAGGAAGAAAACAAAATAATCTATGTATCTCCAGTATCCAGAGAACCAAGTATCCAGATGTTCCCTTCTCCCGCTAGAACATTTGTGGGCAAGAGCACCAACTGTAGAGATAATTATTCCAGAGACTCTTCAGGGTACAGGCATAGGGTGCCGTGGCTCTTATGAATGCGCATGGAAAACCAGTGTACACAATCCATAATTCTGAGTTTGTTAAAATGGTTGCTTTATAACGTACATAAACTTCGAGGAGTTTATCACCAATCCCTCAAAATAGTTGGAATTTCAGTTCAGTATGAGATGCTGAACTGTTGAGAAGTTCTTTCATAGCAATAATTATTAAAAAGATATACATTTGTTTTACGGTGGGGATGAAGGTGTAGAACATGAGTTTCCTAACTAATCAACAATTTCATTTTTGTGATTTTGACTTATTGGGACAAACAGAATTTCAGGCTTTCGAAAAAATGCTTTAAATGTGGTAGTCGGGGGAAAATCTGAGCCTGCAGGGAACTTGTGGGTGTAAATCGTGGAGTTTTGTGTTGTAAATTTGACTTATCTCATTAAAGATTTACATACTCTTCTTATTTTGTGGTTTTATAACTGTTATGTATTCAGTGAGAGGGGAAATGGTAAGCTCAATTACAGTTCAGGGCTGGAAATGGGAGTTGACTTAAGACATTTAGGGCTTCAGATAGGTTTGTTCCAGTTCTAATCGCTGCTGAGAATTCGCATTTCCACCCCCAGATATACTGGATCAGAATCTACATTTTAACAAGATCTGTAGGTGATTATAATGTACGATGAAATTTGAGAACCACTGCTCTACTAGTGGTTCTCAGAATTGGTCCCTAACCAGCAGCATTAGCATCACCTGGGAACTTGTTAAAAATGCTTGTTAGAACATGCTTGTTAGAAGCAGTGATTCATTTGGTAAGATCTTTGTGTGGTCAGATTCTGTATATGTAAATTGTGATACCTACATACTATATAGATACCTGTACCTCTTTTTTTCTTCTTACTTCCTTACTGACCTTTTGGAAATTGTTTAGTTTTATTCTCTATCTTTAAAAAATGTTTAAATAAAAGTACTATGAACACATATCATTCAGAAACTGTTTTAAATTTATTGTTAAATTAATTGATAGTAAATGAACAAAGTTGGCACGGTATGGATAAATCTTGTCCATAGCTATTCAAAATTAGAAGAACTTGATAATGAACAATAATTCTTCCTGGAATTTTTGTTATCACAGTAAAAATGCAGGTGTTTTATTTCTGTGATTTTGTGAGCAGTTAAATCTGTAAATCACCTCCTGTGGAGAAGGTGTCCCAGTGACTGAAAGCCAGCTGTTGGGTGTTTTAGCTAAACAGCTTGCTCCTAGTTGGCTGCTCACAGAAGTTTTGGATGCTCTACAGAACAGAGCAGGAGTAAAGCCCGCAGGGTGAAGTTTTTCACAAGGCCTTTAGTGACCCAGTTTAAATTAGCCGGATTTTTCTGCTTTGGCTTTTTCCTATAGGTGCCAGAGTTCATCTGCTTCATATTTTCACCAATGTCTCATCTTCCTGTCATATTTTCTTAGACTACAATGACTTAAAGACTCTTTAAGTCACTGTTACGTAGTTTCTCCTGCCACGTATATTAGGAGAAAACAGTGGTGTTCAAACCCAAGCCTGTTTCCATCTCATTCTGATTTATTCCTGTAGTACATAGAAAACTTTGTTTCTTCCTGAAAATGGCATTTTGGTGATTCATTATTTTCTGTGGGATGAAGCTTATGGCCTCCTTTCCCCCCCTCCCCCCCCTTCCAGAAGGAATCTGGAAAAGTTGCAAGCAAAACATCAGTTCTCTAAGAAATTTTCGGGTAACGGAGATTCTGGATAACAGGTAAAGTGTGTTTAAACTTATTTGGTGGTGCTGATAAATTACCTGTGATCTGCAGAAATAAACTGGGAGAGGGAGGAAGAGAAGGAGAAACAAAGCTAAGTGTACTTTGTTGGGGTTGTATTTGGGATTTTACATACATTATCTCATTTAGATAGTTTTTAGCAGGATTCTGGACATAGATCTGAGATTTTCAGAATAAAACTAACCTTTCAAATGTTGTTTTAAATGTATTTGCCTAGTGATTGGATTTACTATCCTCACAATTCAATTCAGCAGACATTTTTAATGCCTACCATAAATACAGAAATATAATTTGTCACTATGGGCTTTTAAGCAAAACCAGAATCTTAGAATCTGCTGTTATACAGTCTAGCTAGGAAATGAGTGTTTTCTTAGTTTCTTTCTATCTTTGGTTTTGGTTCGTGATCATTGCCAGTTATTTGCAGCTGTACCATCTCCTAATTCCCATTAACACTTTGTCACATGTTCCAAAATGTGTTTCCTAAAGAGCATTCATTACAAGGTAAGCTACCTCTTCACAATGGAGTCCAACCCAAACTTTCCCCTTATGTTCTCAGGGATGAACTTGCCATGACTGGGTGGAAGAGCTACACCTGTGCCTTATTTTTCATACTGGAATACTTGTTCCAACTTGACCCTTGAAGTTAGATTTTAAGTATGCCGAGAAGTGGTTCCTAGAGATATCATAAATAAAAAACTAAATTGTTATAGTGTTAATATTTATTTTCCTTTGGTGTTTTTCCATTTTTATCAGGGCAAATCAGTTCAATCACCATGAGTTGGAGCTTCCTGACTCGCCTGCTAGAGGAGATCCACAACCACTCCACATTCGTGGGGAAGATATGGCTCACTATTTTGATTATCTTCCGGATTGTCCTTACAGCTGTAGGAGGAGAGTCCATCTATTATGACGAGCAGAGCAAATTTGTGTGCAACACAGAGCAACCAGGCTGTGAGAATGTCTGCTACGATGCCTTTGCACCCCTTTCCCATGTGCGCTTCTGGGTGTTCCAGATCATCCTGGTGGCAACCCCCTCAGTGATGTACCTGGGCTATGCCATTCATAAGATTGCCAAAATGGAGCATGGTGAAGCAGACAAGAAGGCAGCTCGGAGCAAACCCTATGCAATGCGTTGGAAACAGCACCGTGCTCTGGAAGAAACAGAAGAGGACCATGAAGAGGATCCCATGATGTATCCAGAATTGGAATTAGAAAGTGAAAAAGTAAATAAAGAGCAGAGCCAACCTAAACCCAAGCATGATGGCCGACGGCGGATTCGTGAGGATGGGCTCATGAAAATCTATGTGCTGCAGTTGCTGGCAAGGACCGTGTTTGAGCTGGGTTTTCTGATAGGGCAGTATTTTCTGTATGGCTTCCAAGTCCACCCATTTTATGTGTGCAGCAGACTTCCTTGTCCGCATAAGATAGACTGCTTTATTTCTAGACCTACTGAGAAAACCATCTTCCTTCTGATAATGTATGGTGTTACAGGCCTTTGCCTATTGCTTAACATTTGGGAGATGCTTCATTTAGGGTTTGGGACCATTCGAGACTCACTAAACAGTAAAAGGAGGGAACTGGAAGATCCGGGTGCTTATAATTATCCTTTCACTTGGAATACACCATCTGCTCCCCCTGGCTATAACATTGCTGTCAAACCAGATCAGATCCAGTACACCGAACTGTCCAATGCTAAGATTGCCTACAAGCAAAACAAGGCCAACATTGCCCAGGAACAGCAGTATGGCAGCCATGAGGAGAACCTCCCAGCTGACCTGGAGACTCTTCAGCGGGAGATCAGAATGGCTCAGGAACGCTTGGATCTAGCCATCCAAGCCTACACTCACCAAAATAACCCCCATGGTCCCCGGGAAAAAAGAGCCAAAGTGGGGTCCAACAAAAGCAGTGCCAGTAGCAAATCAGGGGATGCAAAGACCTCCGTCTGGATTTAATCTTGGCTGGGCTTAAACTTGTGCTTTTCATAGTTTATGGTAAGCAACGGCTCACTGAATAATGACTTCCATTGAGTAAACATTTGGCTCTGGTTATCTTCAGGGATGCTGTTGGCTCATGATCCAAGCTCAGGGGACTCTGAAGGCGGGACTGGGAAGAGGGGGAGAGAGAGGGAAACACAGTGTTCCTGGGCACATGTTCTCAGCAATAATACAGTGGCAGAACTTTACATTTGTGTCTTCCAGATCTGGAGAAGAACAGATATATTTAAATCATTCTTGTTGAACAGTTTTTGTATGTACAGTATTATGGTACATTTTTTAGTATGAGAATTTTTTTGTATTTGTACATTGGACTACTGTAGTTATACTTTTATATTAAAGGAAAAAAATACAGGTAATGCCTATTAGGCTAGTGTTATTACTTTGTTCAGCAAATTCTACTCTGGGTTTAGAGTTTTAATAGATGCTTCACTTAATAAAAGTGCCTCTTGTGTTGCAGGGAAGGTTTCAGATATGTAAGGAGACTGAGGAGGGGGTGTCAGCTGTCAGTCTGGGAAGGAAAGCCCACAGTAGAATGAGGTTGAGATTCTCTTTTACTTGAGAAATCTTTGACTCTAGTTTATGTGCCCAGAGTTGTAGCCAGTCTTTGAAAACCTATGTATATTTTCAAAGGAGATAAATGATTCACTGTAGGATTCCTTTAAATGTTAAGCATTGCCAATATACGCTTTGATGATGTGTGTATAATTTATGTTGCTTCAAAAAATTGATACACAGAGGTGCCTCCAGCCCCCCAATCTGGTAGCAGTGTAAGAACCTCACTAGAGTTGATACTGAGCTTTCTCTAACAGAAACCAAAGCCAAGCCTGGAAATGAGCCCTGATAGGATGCTTAGGGATAGTTGTGGACCCGTTTGATTTGCCTTAAGACTCTTACCTGGAAACCTGCCTTGGGTTTCTTAAAGAAGGCTATGTTGGGTATTTTCTTTTTATGTTTTAACATTAAAAATACAAAAATTCCCTTGTAGGCTAAGAATACTCAAAGCTACCTGTACTGCAAATGGCAGGGGGCCTAAATCCAGATTCCTTATTTTTTATAATTTACCATGGAACTTTGTTTAGTGTGCCAATGTGGGTTTCTGCCTGGGAGGCCAATCTGAGCTGGGATTCAGCCTGTAAATAGACCTGGAGGATTTTATTCCCTATGGGCGTATCTACTTGTCAGTGACAAACATTAATGTTCACATGACACTCATAATTTGCAGTATTTAGTTACCATTTTCAGCCTCACAGTACTGTGTTGGAAAGCTTTGCTCTCCAGTCGTGCTCACGTGTTTTGTCTTATAGTCGGTGAGCTTCTGAGTAAAAGCTTGGTAAGAGTTTAAATGAGGACTTTGTGCTACCAGGGATCATTTTGTTTTGGGTGTCTCACTTTTATTCAACAGAAAGCTATTGCAAACCATCTCTATCTTTGAAATTCTAAAACTTTTTTTTATGTCTTAATTTTAAAATATCAGTTCTCCATTATTCAGGAGAATCCTAGAACAGGATCTTTGTGCAGTTTTATTTTTTTCTTTTCTTTTTGGTTGTGATTTGTTTCTGTTTCTCCATTGCATCCCCCACCCCCTAAAAAAAATGGTAGAGAAATTAAGCTTATCTTCCAGCCATTGATTTACCTTTATTATTATTATTTTTTTGTCTTTAAATTTTAGCTTAGAGGTTCCTCGCGTCTGTAAACATCTTAAGCAAAATTAAACTCAGGTGAGACTGAAGGGAAAATTTCAGATGACATGTATGTATCATGGATAGCTAATAGACATGCATAGTTCCCCTCAAACCAAATGTTTAATAAGGAAATTCATACAGTTATTCTAAGAAAACGGGCAAGATTTTAAACACCTAAGCCTAGCCCAGATAAAGAACTACCAATTAATTCATATATCTCTAGAGCTTCAGACAAATTTCCTAATTGAAGGACAGAAGATACACATACACTTACATGCCTCTGTTCAGAGCTTGAAGGAGAACAGAGTGGCTTCACCAGCAGAAAGGCTGGGAATTTGAGAGTGATGGAGAGGAAAGGAGTCAAGCAGGAACGCCAGGAAAAACCAAAGACATTTGGTGCCAGAAGCATCCACTTAGTTTCTACACGCAGTGCCCCTGGTGTTTCATCGTGGCCTATTCTGATGAGAATTTTATCTTTTGTGTCTGGAAAATTCTTCAACTTCTTAAAGTATAAAGAAAAATATTTTAAGTCACCTCCCCGTGTACACATGCATACTTTTTTTTTCTTCTTCTATTTTTTACTCTCTTGTTAAAGTTTTAATTATGACATGAATTTCCCAACTCTCACTGCCTTCTTAGTATTTTACTTTCAGCCTTTGCACATATGAGTTTGCCAAAGCCATTTTCCTCTAATGACATCTTATGGACCTACATTAAGAAAATGGCTCTGTCACTGTGTAGCGTAAACATTAAACACTGAACCTGTAAAAATATTATTTGAGTATTGTCCTGAAACTTGCAGGTATTTGTACAAAAATCTGTCGGCAGTTGTTTTTGTTTTCCCTATCAAAATCGTATTGTTTTGAATTGCCATATAAGACATGCACTGTCACGTGGCATTTGCTTCTCCTCTAAATAGAAGTTGAGTGCTTAGTCCTTTGCATACTAGAATCAGGATACAATCAACGACATGTTTGTGTTCCTTAATGTACTGTTGAATTTATTCTAATGCAGAGTGTCCTTTGCTCTTCTTTATTAAAATCTGTTATTATCAGAAGAGATTTGTAAAAGGAACAGTGTTTTTTTCTTCAGATTTGAGGAGAAAATTAAGTAACATTTTTCCCTAATATTAATGTTCATTTTGTGGCTTTGTCTTTGCTTATGACTTGGTTTCACCTGTTTCTATATTTGTTCATTTTTCAAAGTCAGTTTTTCTGAAGATTTTCCTTGACTAATGACTGTAGAATTACTTTAGATAAAAGTGAGCTTTACCGCCAGAAAATGGTTCTCACAATTTAGGAATCATCCCATGTATGTGTCTTTTAGAGCGGCACTTATATCTTTAAGGGGAAAAAATCAACATTAGGTACCTCTGCTCTCATTTCTTTATATGAAATTAGGCAGATCACTTTACTTTTTTAAGTTTCAGGAGCCACTTACCTCTCAGAGGCGTTATAAAGCAGAGAGGGCCTCTAGTAAAAGGCGATAAAAGACCAAGTATTCTTATTTGTCATTTGCCTGAGCTTGGAGCTTCAAAAAATTAGGTGAAAGAACTGTGTGGTAGTGAGATGTCCTTCAGTGCTTAGAACACTTACTCTAAGGGGACTTACGTTATTTCTGTTAGTCATGCCTGTGATTTACCCATTAAGCTTCTAAGTGTCCATGCTTTTATGCTTTTTGTCTCATTTAAGAGACACGCTGCTTCTGAAAGTAGCATCTGTAGTTTATGAGAAATTTTTGGCCTGCCAGCCTTCAGTAAAAGGCAAGTATGTTATACTCGAATCTACTTCAAGTAATGTCTATTTGTAAAAGAATGGGCTTTCCTGGCTGTGAAGAAAACTATCTGAAGTCAAAGATACACAGGTGCTGGTCATTCAATAGGTATTTAAAAGTTAAACCTATCTAAAGCTATTTTATTTTTGGAGATTAGGAATTTGTAAAGGAAATCTTCTTGATTCTGAGATCCTGAAGAAATAATGTGGTGTCTTTCATTTTATCATTTTAAAATCATGTAACCTATGAAGAGTCTTGCCACCTGAAAGTAGCAAAGCCCCGGTCGCAGACTATTATAACCGAGCCTACACAATACAGAGTTTGGAAATAAAATTTCAGCTCACCTATGTATCATAAGGAAACCCTGGTGGCGTAGTGGTTAAGAGTTCGGCTGCTAACCAAAAGGTCGGCAGTTCGAATCCACCAGGCACTCCTTGGGAACCCTCTGGGGCAGTTCTACTCCCTGGTGGTGCAGTGGTTAAAGCACTCGCGTGCTAACCGAAAGGTCAGCAATTCAAACTCACCAGCTGCTCCTCGGGAGAAAGGTGTGGCAGTCTGCTTCCATAAAAATTTATAGCCTTGGAAGCCCCACGGGGCAGTTCTGCTCTTTTAGGGTCGCTGTTGAGTCGGAATCAACTTGACGGCAGTCAGGGTTTGGTTTTATATATCAAATCTTCCGTAATTCACAGTCACCATCAAATGTTAGAATCAGTAGGTTGAATCACATGGTTGTCACTCATTCCGGTCACACATCGTGGAGAGTTTAAAAGATTTTATTTGCTGTTGTCCTTAATGTAGTTGTTGTTTTTAATAATGATGTTAAGTGGTTTGAGTTCATGCACATTCCCCACTAATAATCATCTTTTTTTTAAAGAAGCAATCTGTAGTATTCCACAATTCAGGAGCCCAAATAAGAGAAAGTTTTACTCCAGTGTAAAACCTCTCCGGAAATGAAAGAAACAGGAGTTCTGCATTTCAGGGTTTAGTGGTTTTTTGTTGAACCAGGTAAAGATTACAGAAGTCTCTACCTCAGGCACTGTTAGATATGATTAGCATATTAATACTGAAAAACAGCTAGGACTTAGAACTTTTTAAGATAATTTAAATGTAAAGACATTAACTTTTTTATTCAGTCATCTCAGGTCATACGTTTATAGAATTTGGATATTGCTTGAACAGCTAAGGAATTATCTCTTCTAGAGCCAAAGATAAGTTGTTGCTGATTTTGTTCTGTACAGTTAATGTAAAAACTTCATGGTAGAGACAGACTCTGTGCTCAGCGCTTTGTCTCTAGGGTGATTTTGTCAGTTCCAAATACAGTTTAGAAGATTCATTTGTGGTCTGTGCGTCTTTTCCCAAAACTTGAAACCAGTGGAAAACTAAGCTGCCAGGAAATGTCATATTGAGGATTTTTACCCTATTCTTTCTATAAAATATAGCTTAGTGGTTTACACAAAGAACCTGATAAACCAAAATCTGTTCTCATATATTCACCTGTAA